TTTGCAGAGGCAGAGCTGCAAAATATTTGGGCTCTTGGCACAACGTTTTCATTTTTCCTTAAGTCGTATCTGAATGCCCCTATGACTGGCATATTTGAACAGCAAAAGCAAAGATAGTTTTCCCTGAATGTTTAAATTATGCTCAACCATTTCTGACCTAGAAATAAGTGCGTCACTCCAGTCACTCGTGCACAACACCGAGAGCTCAGCCCATTGCAGCTCAGCGCCGGGCCGCACAGTGAGCCCACGGTGCCAAGCGACGGCGGCACAAGAACCGCACCAGGGAGCCCCGTGCGCTCAGCGGAGACTCAGAGAGGAGCAGCCAGGAGCTTGCTGCAGTGCAGGCTGCAGGCTGCATGAGCAGGGCGAGCCGTGCTGCAGCTCCCTTTCACTTTTCGTGAACACCAGCGTAGCAGAAAGGCTGAGAGGGAAATCTTTAAAAGGTGTCGAGAACTTCTAAAAATTGTTTCTCATAATTTATTTAGCTCTGGAGTCACCTAAGCACTTAGACATGTGCTTAACTTTTTGAAACCGAGTAGTTCAATTTGAAATTAGTGGACTGCTCGTGTACTTATGGTTCATCATGCACTTAAGTGCTTTAATCTGGCACTTTGGGGAAAAGGAATGGTGACTCGGTCACTGAATGTACTTCTAATCTAATCTATTCCAATCTGCTGTCGGAGCTGTAGACCTGGGTCTGTCTACAGAGCAGTCGCATAAGCAGGATGCGTTAGTCCAGCTGAGCTGCTGGAGCTGGAGCACTGTTGGAAACTGGGTTGCTTAAGAAGAGTTTGGATGTTGTAGCCAGGCCCTGGGGCTTCGGACTGCTGGAGAGGGGCGAGCGGGGTCTGCTCGGCTGTATGACTCCTCCTTATTGCTCGGTTAATGCCCGCAGAGAGGACCTGGGCTATTGCACTTAGGCTGCTCTGTGCCTGGGTTAGGAAATGGCCCATGGCTCCAGGCCTTGCTGAAATTTCTGCCGTAACACAACTGCAAGCATTGGAGCAGGCAGTGGGGAGGGAAGGTTTTAGACCTGGGAGCCTTTCATGTCAGGCTTATCTTCTCAGCGCGTAGAAAAAGAAGCTACACGTTGTTTGAAGAATCTCAGACCGCAGGAAATTTTGGACACAAACACATATAATTAGCAGTATTTTAGAAAGGGACAACACAGGCTTCCTTCAGGAAGGAGGAAAACTGCAGTGTTTGTCTTGGGAATCTCTCTGGCAATCTTCATTAGACTGGAGGCAATTTCTTCTTTGGCTTAAAAATAAAAATCATGTCATACATATATAAAAACTAGGCTAGCTGGGATTATGTGTGGTTTTGCTCAGGTAAAACCCTCAGCAGTTCAGTTTGGGCTTCACCGCACTGGTCCCGAGGGTGCCTGAGGACAGCGTCCCGGCTCCTCGGCATCACCGAGGGTTTGATAAACGATCCCACTCTTCTGCTGTCTCTGGTTCAAAATAATATTGGGTTTTTCCAGTTTTGGAAAACCCAAATCAAGAATTACTTATTTCTCAAAGATAAGTAGCTGAAAGGGCTTCAGATTTTTTTTTCAACATTTTCCCTATCCATTAGGTATATTTTCTACCTTTGTGATAGCTGTGTTCAGCTAATCTGCCAGTTTAACCAAAGCAACAATTTCACAATGTAGTTTTCTTTCTGATTGTGTGCTGTGTAATCAATATACTGATATAATGTGAGTGTAATTTCCTCTCTTATTTTATCTCCACTGCATAGTATTATAAATAAACAGCTAAAAAAGAAAAAAAAAAAAAGAAAGAAAGAAAAGCACCCCACAGTGACGTTGCATCTTCTTTTAAGATTGTACCACTGTAGACACTTGTTCCAGTAAAGTAGAATTGGACCCACTTGATTGCATTTAAATTTTTCATGCTTCAGCAGTTTGTCTGGGAGCACAGTAAAGAAACCCCCCGAGCGAGGAGAGTGTAGAATAATAGAACTTGATTTTGTGTATTATAGCGGCACCATTTGCGCTGCTGTAGTTAGGGTTGTGTCAGCACTTCCATTATAAACCCCTGTTTGCAGGGGTTATAACTAGGAAGATATTTTTTTATCAGAAACTTTTTTTTAATCATTTGAGTGAGTTTTATTTTTTTCTCCTCTCATTATCAATTAAATAAATTATAATGGAAATTAGTAAATTTCAGCTACCTTTTACAAGCCTTATTTATTATTAATATTGAATTTTTTTCTCTCACGAGAGATTAGAGCAAATGCATTCTGAATATTTTAACTGCAAAATTATGAAGTTATTATGGTTTAAAATTTGGCTGCTATTCATAATCATATTTTAGCATTGAAACGTATCAACACAACAGACAGTTCTGTGGATTGCTGCTACAATACACGTGAAGTGTCCTCCCAGGCCAAATTCCCCCCCGGCCTTCGATGGGGCCTCGCTGGGATCGCGGGGCCAGTGGTGCCTTGGGGGCTGCTGGGGCTCCCTGCACCACATCCCCCAGCTCCAGCAAAGTGCAGAGGCCCCCAGGGCAGGGGGCCTCCTGCTCCCATATCAGAGCCTTTTCCCTATGTATTTAAGTTAAACAATAGAATATTCACGTAGGTTTCTATGTGCATGTGTTTCAAACACGCCCAAGATGCAGGACATGCGCTGCTGCTCTCCAGCAGTACCTGTCGAGCGCCTTCCTGAGCGGTCACTTGAGGAAATACCAAAAGGCTGCTTATGAAATAGAGGTGAAGCCTTCCTACACTAATTATATTCAGCATGTAATTTCTAAACTTCAGTCTGAATTTTGATTTTCAATTAACATTCCCAATTTGAAGATAATTTTCTATTTAATGTAATTGCAGGAAATAATTTATTGGCTGATTAAGACTGAGGGCCCAGCCTTCCTTAAGCAAACAGTCCCTAACAAACCAGCCTTTAGAGCCAACTCAGAGCTTTGGACAGATTCAGCCTATTTTCGCAGCTGCACAGTTGTGCTTAATTAGGATTGTGCACTATTATTCATTGGTTCAGTTTGTAGTTGAAATTATTCTTAAGAGACATTTTCATTTCTAGTTTTGTGTCATGATTAATTTATAGCGAAGAAACAGCCCTATATAGCTATTGCTTTTTGAAGCAGCTTGCTCCG